TTTTAACTCAACTCACATTCACTAGCTACATGTAGCTAGCCTTCAAGACTAGGCAAAATATATTAAATCATTAGAATCATTTCCCTTAATAGTATTTAGATGAATAGCTAAAATAAAGAGCATGGTTGGAGTAGAAATATGAAATAGTTGATAGGCAAAATAAAATATATACTTTATAGTAATATTTAGATAGGTAAAATGCCTATTACCGTTGGAGATGCTCAGTGCTACTAAATACCTCACATGCGTGTGAGACCTACATGAGACTCACATGGTGTGAGTTCCACACCCATGTGAGATATTTGATAAAACATTTGGGGGTCTCTAGCATTACTTACGATTAAAATCACTCTTGTACCAGTTGGAAAAAGGCATAAGAATGAAAACTATAGCATGTAGGTGGAGAGAGATGTCAATAATTTTATGTTTTGTGTATTGTACCCATTTTATTTTTGGATATATATATATTTCTTTATAAGATTTAAATTAAAATATTTTTTAATTGATCATATTTATTTTATAATTAAATTTTATTAATGTTTCTAGTTCCAATAATTATTAAAATGATCTAAATAATTTAATAGCATTTCAGGACCCAGAAGAAAATAAAAATATTTCATATTTATTGAGTTAAGTGGATGGACTTGAGAATATAGAAGTTCTTTTAGGTCTAAGCTTGACTTGGAATGACTAGTTCAGACTTGATATCAAACCAGACCGACATATGTTCTCTTACCATATAATACAAACTTAGCCCAAACCCAGCCCAACCCGATGTTTGTCTACCTTTTGACCTTGACGAGCAATGTTATATCCATTTATTAACAATTTTACTAACAGTAGACATGTCTAAATGTTATTCGATGTTTAACTTGCTTGGTTTCATAATTTAGGATTCACTTTTCAAAAATTTGAAATTTTTTATTTTTTGAATTTTTTTGTCCTTACTAAATTTTTTTAATATTTTAAACAATTTTTTTAATTTTTAGATACGCCTAACATAAATACACTTAAAAAGTGTAATATTTGTAGAAAAAAATCTTTAAAAAATTCACTAAATACCAAAAATATAAATATATATATATATATATGAAAATTCAGTATACTTTTCATATTCTTGTGTATTTATTGATTTTTTTAAATATTTTTTTACAAATATTTTACTTTTTACATACATCTAATTAAGGTACATCGAAAAAAATAAAAATAAAAATACTTAAAATTTTAAAAATATTAGCTAAAAATTAAAAAAAAACACGAAAAATAAAAAATTCAATTTTCAAAAAATTAGAACCAAACACAGTGATCACTTTTCTTTTTTTTTTGTTTTTTTGTGTTTTTTACATTTGACCTCTTATATTATTAGTAAAATTGTTAGTGTATACAAAATTATTCAACCTTAGACACTGATTTTTATTCTTGTCACAATTTTTGGGAACATATCCTAAATCTGGAATAACTTCAACAATTGAGTAGTAAAGGAATTAATTAAACAAATTATAACATTTGACATTGGCAAAACCTTTCATCCTTAGTCCTAAATTTTGCAAAACCTTCAATATGTATAGTGATTCAGGAACATATCCTAAATCTGAGTCTTAATATTGACATATTTGTCTAATATTGACCAATATGTGATCTTTTTGCTGATACCTATATGTATAGTGATTCTCAGGAGATACAAGCTTTATTTCCAAGGAGGAGTGGGATATTTCCCTTTAAGGGTTGGTTTGGGATGGCTTAAAAAAGTACATTTTTTGTCTTTTTACGAAAAAATATACAGAAAAGTAGAGAGGTGATATGATGAAAAAATAAAAAGATAAAAAAAATGAATTATATAGTTTATGCCAAACCAGCCCGTCTTAACAAAGTTGACCTTGTGGATGTTAAAAATGGTGCCTTGACTTTGGCCAACAACACACAACCAGTAGAGATCAATACATAATATAAATTATATATAAAACAATTAGTTTCCAGCTTTCAATGTCATGCATCATACGTACACTCATTTATTTTTGTTTACTCAAGTCTCCAATGGATCTGACATTTCCACATCTTAGAAAGTTTATTTTCATTATTAAGAATATAAAAAACACCAATCTTAGATTTTGTATTGCACTAGTAAACATGAAAGATAAATGTTGCATTTGGTAGAGTTTTGTAAATGTGATTTGAAAATATGAGTTGTATTTTGAGTTTGTGAGTTTTGAAATTATGATATGAATGTAAAAAATTTGTTTGGTGAATGAGTTTTGAAAAGAGTTTTTGAATTGAGTGGCGTGACATAATTTTTATACAAAAACTTACAACTCATAACCAAACACAACCCAAAATTCTATTCAAAACTCATAAAAAAAATTTAAAAAAAAAATTGAAAATATTTTTTATTTAACATATAAAAATAACACGGGCAAATAAAAAAAAAATTCAAGAACATTGTTCCGGACGACCGGCCGGACGTCCGATGGGACATCCGGGTACACTATTTTTCAAATGCGGGTGTAGAAATGTTTTTTGAAAACCGTAAACAAACGCCGCACTCAAACTTGAGTGTAGAATCATAATTTAAAAGCTGTACCAAACACAGCCAAAATTATTCATAAAATTCATGAATAATATGAATAAAATTATTCATAAAAATATTCACTAAAAAAATATGAGAAACAAAAAACTCAATTTTTAAAAAATTGAATTAAAAAAATTGAAATCAAACACAGTGATTGCTTTTTTTATTATTATTATTTATTTTTAACAACCAATCACATTTGACCTCATATATTTTTAGCAAAATTGTTAGTGTATACAGAATTATTCAACCTACGCACAGATTTTTATTCTTGTCACAATTTTTGGGAACACATCCTAAATCTGGAATAACTGCAACAATTGAGTAGTAAAGGACAAAATTAATTAAACAAATTATACCATTTGACATTGGCAAAACCTTCCATCCTTAGCCCTAAATTTTGCAAAACCTTCAGTAATTGAGCAGTAAGGACACAAATTTAAATATCATTCTTAACGTAATTAAAGCTCCGTTTGGGAAGATGGATTTGGGGCTTTTTTTGACTATTTTAGTCACAAAAAACAAAATACGCTATTTTAGCCACAAAAAACAAAAATCAAATCCAACTCATAATCATCACACTATTTTCTCACAAAAAAAGGTCAAAAAAGCTAAAAAGTCCTTCCCAAACCAAGCTTTTTAACCCAGGTTAAAATAGCTAAAAAAGCCAAAAAATCAAAAAACCAACCCATTTCCCAAACGAAGCCTAAATTAATTTTGTGTTCCCATCTCTTTATTTCATCACTCCCAATTGCACATCTAATGAGGTAACAAACAATACTAACCAATCAACTTTCTTCGAACTCTTCTTTATTTTTTCAAAAATAGTTGCTGCCTCATTAAAGGTGTAATTAAGGGTGATGAAATAGGGTATATAGCAAAACTCTAAGGGCATGTTTGATTGGAAGGATTAAAGCATGGGATTGGGATTATTAATCCGTGGGTCCAATCATCCTATGTTTGTTTTGACATTTTGGTTTAGGATTATTAATCCAATGGATAATTAATCCAACAAATTTGTAGGATTATTAATAATGGGATAGGGGTGGGATAGCTAATACCACACTAATTTGATAGGATTATTAATACCTCACTATTAGTGTTGTGAATCAAACATGGCCTAAGAAAAATTACACTAACCTCCCTTGAAGTTTAGAAATTTTTTTTAAAAAGTGACTGAAACTAATACAAATAGCCAAACACTGAAAAAAAAACATTCTAATTGTTGTGTAAATTAAAATTTAAAGAAAAATCAATGTAGTTATGATAAAAGTGTCGAATTAATTGTATTTTCCCCAATCTCAGGTGAGTTTAAGTTGCCCATTATTATTATTCACCATGTTTAGTTCCAGAAAATTAAGTCATTCATTATTTGTTTTTGTTTTTGTTTTTTTTTGTTTTTAGTGATTTTTTTGAATAGTTTATGCAATTTTTTTTTAATTTTTTAGATACACAATCTAAATACCCTAAAAAGTATAATATTTGTGAAAAAAAAAACTTTAAAAAAATGCACCAAATATAAAAAAATACAAAAATAATATATTTTCATATTTTATTGTATATGATAAATTTGTTGTATTCAATAAATTGGATACAATATAACTATATAAGAAAAAAGTCAATTAAAATATGAATAAAATATGGTTGGTCAAAGGCCATTTAAAGAAAAGTCAAAGTCTACTTTGCGGGGGAATATCAAATTGGTGTCCCCTTTCTATATAGTAGTATAGAATTATATCAGTATAGAGACCCAAAAACATGAATGGGGGTTTGGTGTATTAGTATAGATTAATGAGATATGGTGTGTTTGGTTGCTAGAAAAAGAAATCGATGGTATAAAAATTATTTTGTAGGGCAAAATTAACATTTTGATAATATAAAATGCTGACGTCAGTTTTTTTTTTTTTTAAAAAAAAAAAAAGAAAGAGCTAACGGAGTAGAGGTCTCTGTATGTTTTAGAAAAGTGGAAGAAATTGTAAATTTAAAACTAATGATGTAATTATCAGAAATCTTAAGAACTTTTATATAATTAAATTAGATTTATATGATTTTATCTCATTTTTTATGGTATTCTGTTAAATATCGACCGCCGGAGTTTTGGACTTCTAATATTGATGTATCGATTGGTATTCCAAAATATCATCTTTTTGCTGATATCCAGGCTTTATTTCCGAGGAGGAGTGGGGTATTGCCCTTTTGCCATAGTCTTAACAAAGTTGACCTTGTGGATGTTAAAAATGTTGCCTTAACTTTGGCCAACAACACACAATCAGTAGAGATCAATACAAAATATAAATTATATATAAAACAATAGTTTCCAGCTTTCAATATCATGCATCATACCTACACTCATTTATTTTTGTTTACTCATGTCTCCAATGGATCCGACATTTCCACATTTTAGAAGGTTTACTTTCATTATTAAGAATATTAAAAAACACCAATCTTAGATTTTGTATTGCACTAGTAAACATGAAAGATCAAATTATTCATAAAATTCATGAATAATATGTTGTTTTGCTGAGTTGGTCTTTATCCCCATTTGACTATGCCTCAGCCGGCCTACTTTTATTTCCATAAGATTTCAGAAATTTCCTTCACTAGAGGTCCTATAAACATAGCTTCCAATTAGTTAGTAAAAAAAGTCACAGCCATTGGATTGTATTGCACTCAACTCTCACAACAATGAGATCCAACTTTATAGTTTCTTGCTGATAGAAGCGTCTCAATCGATGAATTGTGGAAGATTTGATTGTATTTTCTGCAAATGGGTATCAGAAACAGATTTGCTTGTGTTTTTCTTTCATTCTCATTGTTCTTGTTTTTCTTAATGGTTCCATCAGAGTCTGCAACCGATACCATAACTCAGTCCCAACCAATGTCTATAGCACAAACTCTAATTTCTTCGGGACAAGTCTTTGAGTTAGGCTTCTTCACTCCCGGAAATTCTAGTAACCTATATATAGGAATATGGTACAAGAACATACCTGCCCGAAGAGTCTTGTGGGTATTAAACAGAGAGAACCCAATTCCAGCCTCAGACAATGCCTCAAGTCTCACAATTGGCAGTGACGGAAATCTGAGACTATTAGATGGCAAGAGAAACACTGTCTGGTCTACAAATGTATCTGTTCCTTCAAACAAGACAATTGCAGTGCTTTCAGACAATGGAGACTTTGTTTTGGAAGATAATGCCACGGGTTGGATCTCATGGGAAAGTTTCAAGTACCCTTCTGATACTTTTTTGTCCGGGATGATGATTGGATTTAACAACAATACGGGTGAGAAACGATTCTTGTCTTCTTGGAAGACCGATGATAACCCATCACCTTCAAAGTACGTACTTGGACTTACACAAGATGCACCGCCACAGGTTATTTTTTGGAACGATTCTAAGCCAACTTGGATCGGTGGTCCATGGGATGGATGGAAGTTCATAGGTATACCGGATAGGGGACAGGGCTATTCTAATGGACTCAATGTCATTCAAGATACTCAGCAGCAAAGCGTGTTTCTCTCATTCAACATGTATAACACTTCTGGTGTAACCATTATAGTTGTCACACCAGAAGGAATTGTGAAGACAATGGTATGGGTTGAACAAACAAAGAGTTGGTATGTTAATTGGGTGGCACCGGCGAATCCATGTGATGTCTACGGATATTGTGGACCAAACGGGGTTTGCAACAAGAACGGATCTTCAATTTGTCAGTGCTTAAAAGGGTTTGTACCCAATTCGATTGAGGATTGGAGGAATGGAAATTGGACAGGTGGGTGCGTGAGGCGAACAGAACTGCTATGCCAAATGAATGTTACTAGCTTAGCATCAGGAAAAGCTAAAAATGATGGGTTTTTGAAGCTGAGCGGGTTGAAGCTTCCCGATCATTTTGTGTATATGTATAATCAGGATTCCTCAGGTTGCCAACAATGGTGCTTGAGTAATTGCTCTTGTGTGGCATATGCAATTGTGACTGGAATTGGGTGTATGGTTTGGGTTGGAAGCCTTTTGGATATTCAACAGTTTGCAATAGTAGATGGGGACGATCTTTTCCTCCGCCTTGCATATGCAGATTTGGGTAGAATATTATTTATATGCATTGGGGATGAGTAATATTGCGAGTTCTTATATATCTGTTTGATTCTTCATTTTCTCTTCATTTTTCCAGGTGAAAATCATGAGAGAAAAAAAGTAATAATCGTTGTCAGCATAACGACAATTTCTGTGCTTCTGCTCTTTGGTGTCTTCTTGTTTAGTTTGTGCCGCTGGTGGAGATGCAACCATAGAGGTAAGAAGGCTGTCATTCTGTACAATGATTGCTTTCAATCATCAATCATCAATCACTTCATATTTCAGTGAATTAGCAGAGAAATATTCATTTCTTTCTGAAAGTTACACTAAAGATTTGGCCATCAATTTTCTCTTTCATGTTTTAGTCAACAATTATTGTTATTATTATTTTTTTAAATTTTTTTGTGCAGATGCTATGCTACAACAATGTCATAGTTTTCCATGGATTAATGTTTAGATCTATAGTATCGTTGTCATATTAACTAGAAATTTTATACTTTCTGAAGACAATATGCTTTGAGAAAGAACAGTACTTTAAATTATTTTTAGGTGCCACACACAGGATAACTAGTCAGAAAGGGAGACAAATTAAAACCAGGGGTGTAAAATTCAGTAGTCATAGACCATGGCCAATTCCTTATCTGTGATTTCTTGATTTCACTTGTGAAAGAGGAAATTTTGTGCATTAAGTCCTTGGCATAATTGGTTTTTTCCCCCATTGATTCAGAAACCATCATGCTAGCTATATTAATTTGGGAAATCATTTTTTTTTTTTAAAAAAAAATTCCAAATCTCATGGTCTTGTAGCCACGTATGAGAAGGCTAATTGATTTTCAATTTTCTGTTCTGTGGTTGAACCATGAACATCAGTAAAGAGAAGCAGTAAGGTAAAAAGCTCGGCTTTGATCACTACAAGAGACACTTCACAAGATAGTATCTGGGGGAATCATGCGACCCATTTGGAGTTATCAGAGCTACCAATGATTGACTTTGATAAAATATTAGTCGCTACTGATAACTTCAGCGGAGCAAACAAACTTGGAGAAGGAGGATTTGGACCAGTCTATAAGGTAATTAGATTCTTTTCTTCAAGTATATGATTCAAAGGTGACATATATCCATCATCCATATATTAAATAATAAAAATGGACTACAGGGAAAGCTAGAAGATGGGCAAAAAGTAGCAGTGAAAAGACTTTCTAGTCATTCAGGACAAGGCGCGGAAGAGTTCAAGAATGAGATCATATTAATCTCCAAACTACGACACAGGAATCTTGTTAGGCTCTTGGGTTGCTGCATCGAAGGGGATGAGAAGTTATTGGTTTATGAGTACCTGACAAATAGAAGCTTGGACACATTTCTCTTCGGTTAGTTTGACTTTGCTCTTTTTTTCGTTATAAAATTAAATAAGTACAAACAACAAATATTAAGTATCATGTTTATATGCACATTAGCAGTTCCATTTGGAATATTGACATTGTATGATATATAGACTAACACTTCCTTTGTTCATGTTTTGTGGTTTGGTATGAAGGAAATGAAAGTCAAAAGAAAATGTTTTCTGTTGACCATGGAAAACAAATTTATTTGGGCATCAAACGTTTTTCACTTTTAAATGGTGACAAACATATTGCGGATTAAACTTTTACAAACACCACCACACCACCTCCACCACCACCAACACTTCCACCACCCTACCACCACGTCTCCACCACCTTACCACCTCCACACTAACACCACCACTATCACAAAGTTTCAAGGTTGCAACAAAACATTGGAAAACATTTTCTGCAAAAACAAACGGAATGTAAAATCCATACACTTTTACATGAAAAATTATCTTATGCCAAGTTACCCTCTTTAAACAAACTAATCTCCCCATCAGTTTCAAGTAGGAGTGAGCCACACTTGACATATTCCCCAATTAACTATCTTAACTGGACACATTGTATTCTCACCCTCAGCCAAATTAAATTAAAATTAAAAATAAATAAATAAAAAAGAAGGAAGAAAAAGAAGGCACAAAAAATTATAAGACCGAATATCAAGATTTATACTCTTCTTTCTTTCTGTCAATTGTTCATAGCTCATAAATTACTGTCTATCAATGAGGAAAGAAATATAAAAACTTGTGTTCATTCTTGTTCTCTTATTCTCATTGATGGTGAACTGTATTGAGAGGACTGACCATGTTGAATTAATCTTTTTGACTGTCATGTTGCCGTTTAGATGCAGAGAAAAGAGAGCAGCTTGATTGGGCTAAACGCTTCCACATTATTCAGGGTATTGCCAGAGGGCTACTCTATCTCCATCGTGATTCGTGTTTAAGGGTTATTCACAGAGATTTGAAGGCCAGCAATATTCTCTTGGATGACAATATGAACCCAAAAATTTCAGACTTTGGGTTGGCACGGACTTTTCAATTGACACAAGAACTGGCTAACACTCATAGGGTGATGGGAACATTGTAAGAATCCCTTACTTCAAATAGATTTTTCTCAGTTTTGCCAACTATTTTCCCTACTGATCCTGGTATGTAAAATATGGAACACATCACTGCAACAGGCTGCCTGATTAATATGTGATCCTAACTAGTGCTGTGCAAATGGGCATGGAAAATATCTTGCATTAGGATGGTGGTGAGAATTTTAAATGAGGCTTAAGCTTTAGACAATAGACATTTCTTTAGTGATAATGAATTGTGTCATTAATATAGCATCTAACAACACCTTCTATAAATATTATTAACAAAGAAAACCCATTTCACGTTTGTATAGCAGAATTCTTGATAAGCAAAAAGGGGTGTATTATCCTAACTACTTAGCCTTTGCTAAATGGACCGGGCTGCCTAGATGACTCTATTATCATAAATACTTCTGTTATTAGAGAAGCAACATAGATAGCTTCCAGGTTCTACAAAATAAGCATACCACTAGAGTGCAATCGTTTTGTTTTGTAGAAAAACACCTTTTTTTTTATGTTTTTTTTTTCCTTTTCTTCTTTCATTTTTTTCCTTTATGATAATGATACACAAAGCAGGAAAAATAAAAGTTATCTCCGAACTATGTAGTATCACTATAGACCTTTTGATATTAACAGAACACATGACATCTAACACTAACTGAGCACATGTATTGTATACGGTTACCAGAGCAGAATAGTGTTTTGCCTTCCCTTCATTTTTCAATCTAAGAGTTGTTTCATTACATTTATTTATTGAAGTCTTGTAATCTCAACTAAGCATAAACATAACATTTCCTCATTAAATGCAGTGGCTACATGTCTCCTGAGTATGCAATGGAAGGGCTTTTTTCAGAAAAATCAGATGTCTTTAGCTTTGGTGTTTTGCTACTAGAGATTGTTAATGGCACGAGGAGTACCAGTTTACATCATTATGATGAAAAACATCATAACCTCCTTGGTTATGTAAGTGCACTAATTTTACCCTAACTTGCTTTCAAACATTTTAGTTGCCACTGCTATGTATGGTTCTTTCAATTTCATATATTGACCTATGTGAAACTTTTATAGGCATGGCAAATGTGGAACGAAAGCAGGTCGTTAGACTTAGTGGATGAAGCATTGGCCGACTCGTGTTCCCATTCAGAAGTAGTAAAATGCATACATATTGGACTTCTTTGTGTTCAAGATCACGCTACGGATAGGCCAACCATGTCTACTGTAGTTCTTATGCTAAGCAGTGAAATGGAAATTCCGCTACCAAAACAACCTGCATTTACTATTCAAAGTTTGTTGGACTCTGATCTTCGGTCACAATGCAACAATATATGTTCCACGAATGGCGACATCATATCAACTATTGAAGGGCGATAACCACTCACTAAATTATACTTTGCATAAGTTGGTATAAGACCGAGGATTTGCCTGCCATGAGGAGTGACGAGCAAATTTAGCATACTTCTCAATGACGGAGTTTGTGCAGCTCATAAGAAGTTTTAGACAAAAATTGTGATAGTAACGGGTGTAGCATCTGATATTTCACTCACGATCAACCTGTTCATAGACACGTTCATTCTCATTGATATATGAAAATTGCCTAAATTTAGTGGTTGTGTTTATATTGAAAATATTTTAGACTGTAAACTAGATATCCAAGAGTTTTTCGAATTTATGAAAATTGTAAGTCGTATTCTTTTATGGTAAATACTCAACAGGCAACCGATGGGGAAATTTTTGCCATGAAATTATGGGCACTTGTTATAAAGTACATGCCAAAACATCAAACTTGAATACTCATGCCAAAGATATTCTTGAAGAGTTTACATTTGATGGCAAATCTCTATTAGCAAAGATAAACAACTAGTTCATGATGAAATTGGGCCAAAGAAGCCTTTCTTGTTTTGACTGGCAAATCTCGTATTAAAAAATATTTTCAAAACTAACAAAAGGTGGTTAGAGTCAAAAGTCAAATTTTAAAGTTAAAAAAAAAAAAAAAATTTCCATTCAATTTAACCTTTTTTTGCATGAATGATCTACTCGATAAATTTTACAATATTGAATTATTAAAAAAAAAATTAAGACATAGCCACACGAGACATCACAACAGCTGACTGAGATCACAGCAAAACTCCAATCCATACCAAAATTTGTAGAGTTTACTATAGGACTTATTTCGACTATTTGAATTGTTTATTTTATCGAATTTTACGTATAGATCATTCATTAAAAAAAATGATATTGATGTGATAATCAAAATTATATAATTTTACTAAATTTATCTTTAAAAAAATGAATGTTCTATTTTTAAAATTATATATCGATTATTTTTCTTCAAAAAATAATAAATTTATATAGTTATAATTATGGAATCAATCTAATTTATTTTGTGATTGATCTACCTATAAAAATCGACAAAATAAATGATTTCAATTGTCAAAAGGATTCCGATAATGAATCCACTTAGGATATTTTGGATATAATTTATATGCTGATTTTTTTACTTATTATAAAATGACGTGTAAGAAAATAGAAAGATGATATGACAAAAATAAAGGGAGATTTATTAAAAAATCTCTTTTGAAGTGTTTGTATCTCAATTAGTCCATAAGATATTCTTGTATTTCAATAAATCCTATTATTTGAACATTTGATCTACCAAATCATAATTATCATATTTAAGGTATTTTATGGACATTTCTACCATTACAAATATTTTTTGAACGGTTAGCAATTTAGTGACGTGAACATTCATATTTTACAATGTGAATATTCACATTGACGTGTAAATACTCACATTGACAGTGTGAACATTCACATTAACAATATGAATATTTACATTGACAGTGTGAACATTCACATTGACGGTGTGAAATTCACATCACGGAATTCACACTATAAATGTGAATATTATTAGGAGTATTTTGGTAATTATGTCACCCATAGGACTTATTTGAATATAAGAAAATAATGTGGATTAAATGGAACATAAGTAAATAAAAAGAGATTAATGAAAAAGTGCTCCAAAAATAAACTAATAAACAAATAAGTAGCTTATTTATGTGCTTCCAAAAAAAGCGTATACCTAATAGCATCCTTCAATTTGAAAACTTAACCCTACATTTTACAAGAAGTTATTTGGTGGTCCTAAGATATGAACACATAATATCTCAGGTGAAATATAATTGATGTAAAAATGAGATTCATAATTTTATATTGAGTAATTGAAAAAAAAAAATTATGATTGATCAACAGCAAAATCACATAGTGCCCAAAGAATAATAATTTTTTCACATTTTACTTTATATTATCTTTTCTAGCCACACAATCAAATCAATCAAATCCCAAAGATGCCACTATCTTGACAACCAAACATCCCCCACTTTGGAAAATTATTGGTTAGTTTTGGGGCGCTACATAGCCATTCCCCACACCAATAACAATTCACCATGTTCTCCCTTATTTTTCAATTACTCAATGTAAATTCGTGAGTCTCACCCCTCCACCAATCATAACACTATTGAGACATCACGTAGCGGTATCCCAAGATCAACTAATAACTTCTCCCTACCTTGAGCTAAAAAAAATCCGCTACCTTCTCTCTCCTACTGAAGGGATAAGCTCCCATATCTCTTCATATTTTTTTATGAATATTAATTAGGACATGATCCGAATCGTCTATTTCATAAGTTTTGCAATGAATGTCATTCATGCAAAAAAGGAACTTCATCAGACAAGTATAAATATGAGAATAAATCGCATTTTGTTTTATAAAATAGGTAGTTTAAAGTGCAAAACACCAATAAATCCTAATTTTGACAATGTTAAACCATTAGGTCCTGGCTTTTTTTTTAAGGACGGATAAGTCCTATTTCAATTGTAAAGACGTTAGTACCCATGTTTTGGGCTTGTGGGCTTCAATAATTGAGGGTAAATGTGGGTTGGTGTTGATGTTCAATTTATGAAAAAGTCCAACAAGTAACTTTAGGGTTTTGTGCGATTGAATCTGTAATGGTGAAGACGGTAGGGTTTGGATTTGGATTTTGGTGTATCAGTGATTTCCGGCGATTGTTTGGCGTGATTCTGATTTTGATTTGGTAATGTTTGATGTTAATTTCCGAAGTTGACGAGGGTTTACATTTGTAAACCCTAGTTGCCCAAATCAACATTTGATTGTCTATGTCCCCCATAATACGTTGTCTTGATCGTAAGGTTGGGTGTGATCACCATTTCCTGCATTTTTGTAATAGTGAAGATGACATCTACACATTACCGTCGCAGAATAACGTTGCCGAATAACTTGGCTCCAAGTATGAATTGTTTGGGTTTCTAAACTAGGGCTATATTTGTTTCCCGTTATGGATTTGGTGAAAATAGACCTGATATGTTATGTTCCTTGTGCATTTGTTTGTATTGATTGCATGTATATGGTGTGGTGATGTTGTGTTTTGTAATGTACATTAATGTTTGTTAATGTCAAAGTGGGGATGGAGATAGGGTTGCTTGTTGTTCTGGCTGTGACTAACAGTTCGTTGTTATATGGTGGTAATGTATGTTGGTGTATTTGTTTGACTAATCCAAACATGGGTGTTGGTTATGTTGTGCTAATGTATTTCGTTGTTATATGGTGGTAATGTATGTTGGTGTATTTGTTTGACTAATCCAAACATGGGTGTTGGTTATGTTGTGGTAATGTATGGTGGTGGGCCTGTTGTTTTTTGAAAATATAGGTGAAGGGCCATAGTTTTTTGGGCATTTACCAATGATGTTGGTTGATAATTTTTCGTTTTGACCAACACATGATGTATGTGGTAAAAGTAATGTGTGTAATACAATATTATGCGTGATATGGTCTGTGGTCCCTTGTTTGGGTATGGGTTTGAATGAGCTAGTTGTTGTTGGCGTTATGTTATTATTAAATGTTTCACAACAGTGGATAATTTGGGTTACACGTATTTGAAAGACGACTGTTGATAGGAGATGTAGTGGCATTGAAATAGTGTAAGTGACCAATGGTGTGCATGTGTGAGTGTTTTCATAGAACTAAGATCCGTGCATGTTTTTAAAGTTAGGGCCACTAAACGTTGTTTTTTGTTAGGTAATGGCGGGTGGTTGGACATGGTAAATGTAAATCGGTGTTCCACGTGCGTGTTCTGTTAAAAAAATGTTGTAGTTCGCGTAGGTGGGGTGTCAGTTTGGTTGTAATTTTTGGTGAAGTGAAATTTAGTATAGTGAATTTGGACGGTGTGTGTGTGGGGCTAGGGTATAACAAGCTAATGTGGTAATGTTACATGTGTTACAAGTAGTTCAAGTCGGGCAAATGGCAGACGCACCATTCAGGGGAGATCTCCATGGTCACGTTCTGCAGGTCAAACGTCTACCCGTTTGGCAACCAAGAGGCAAACACAATTGCCATTCAAAAGATCTAAAACAACGGCCCGAACTATTCCAAAAACTGTTGTGGATACATCGAAATTTATTTACCAATCGAATGTTGCTGGTGTAATCAAAACTGTGTTGAAGCCTGAGTTTGGTGATGGGCATGTGAAACAATTGTAGAAGATACCGTTTTGGCTCATGATTGACGCAATCCGAGTACATAAGTTGGATCCAAAATCATTTAAGAAGTGTGAAGCAACCGCGTGCCGTATAATTTAGACGTACGATCCTAGTGATGAAAAGTTTCACATCGGGAGGAGAGGACTGCCACTGCGGAACATTGACATCCGTTTGATTTTGGGATACAATGTAGGAAGGATAAGTTGAATTTGGGGCATGATGGTAAGGGTCCAAATTTTATCCAACGAAGATGCCCAAACGTCAATAAAATTTCTGCCAATGTTATCAAAGACTTACTCGTGGTGGCAATACGGAGGAAGACAGAACGTGATGAAGAAGATGTTGCGAAACTAGTGTGCTTTTACATATGCGCAAAGTTATTTTTCGAGATGATAGGCAAGTCCATCGGGTAGGCATTTGTGCGGGTGATCGATAAGTTGGACACGTTGCGCATGTACGATTGGACAGCGACGATCCGCAACGCATTGATAGGTTCGTTGAACAAGGTGTACAGTAGATCGGAAAAAGTTACCGGTTGTGTAGTTGCATTACTGGTATATTAGTACTTGTTTAGCAGTGTAGTGTCAATACATTACAAGTCGTACCGTACAAAAGTTTTGATGTTGTATGCAACATTATTAAGTTTTCTCCTGATTACAGTTCCTCCTTTGTGAGCACACGGCCATTGTGGAACCTGACAAGCGCAATGAGTCACCACGATTTTGTCGGTGAGACCTTGGGAAATTCATAGGGAAATTGAAAGGTGTGGACCTATCGGTGGAGGGTTCCATAAAGGTATGCCTTACGTTTTAATGCTGATAAGTGTTTCATGTGTTGGGTAATGTGTAATTGAAGTTGTTTAATTGTTTTAATTTGTTTGCAGGTTAATATTGAGAAACTTTGTGGGACTATCATCAACCGGTATTTTGTCAAGGTATTAGCAGATGTAGGTGTGGCTGTTGAACATGGTGAAGCTGTGTTGAAGGTAGAGCCGGTTAGTACGTAGGCTGGTGGTGTTAGTAATGTGGTTGGTGAGAAGCTTAACATAGGAGAACCTACTTTT